ATCCAAACTACATCAAGAAAAATAAACTACCTGGTGAAATATTTGTGAAATTCTCCAAGAGGTCTACCAGAGATGTTATACTTAAAGTGATTAATGGGATTACTCTAAAAATCAAAGGCGAAGAAATGAGAATTTTAAAATATATTCCATTTGAGATAAGAAAGAAGAGACAACAATATAAAAACAATATTTAAAACATTTTATCCAAAGATTCCACTCCCTACAGATGGATTTTACCAGAGGGACTAATCTTCAACTTCAAAGAGAAAAAAGAAAAAATAGACTCTGTTGCTAAAACTAAAGCATTTTTAGAGTAGCATAAAAAAACAGAGAAAGAGAAAGGAAAAGTGGAGAACAACAACACAGAAGAAGAGGACAGCGGAAGTAGATCAGAAAGCAGTAGCAGTACAGTGGGCAGCTCCCCAGGAGAAGACTCTGAATCTGGTATGGGAGAAGCCACCCTCAAACTTCTTAAAGTCAGATGGGACTATGATAAAGATAAGCCTAAGGGGGAAAAGGGGGAAAAGAAGTAAAACTGAATCAATTCTGAAAGTTTAATATTATCGTTTAATATACCAGAGTGCACTTATTTGGCTAACATGGTTTGTACTGAAATATATTTGAAACAGTTAATCTCACTCTTCATCTTCTAGAATGTTAAAGCTAAGGGAAATTTTGAAATAAGCAATTGGTATCGTACCAGATCCCTGTTTAGCTGTATGTTTTAGTTAGTGTTTCCATGTTCCCTGCCCTATGTGGTATGTAGTCAAAATGCAATAAAAAAGTTATTTAAAAAAAACCTTCCATATATAATTACTACTGGAAGTATACTGAGACAACCAGTCTCGATTCATACTACATAGATATTTCTCAGTGTGTTTACTGTTTGTTTCCTAGTTAAGACTCCCAGTTACTTACAAGAACAACACCAAAAATGTCTGTGTTTTGAAGTCACAATTCATTAAAGACCTCTTGCCTTCAGTCGGAGCGTGCCACATGAGGGGAGAAAGGAGGGAGTACACAATCACAACTAGGTCCACATCAATCACAAAAAATGTATGAGACTTGTTAACGAAGTCCAAACGGAACCTCACGGATATTAAGTCCCCTGGAATTCCCTTCACAGACTAACTTCATAGTGATTAGGGTCCATCTGCACACTACAAAGTCCTTGTGTTTTCTGGGGAACAACACAAGGACTTTGTATCCCACATGCAATATGAGGCTTGTGAAACTTATATGTAGCCATGTAAGTAATGTGATTTTTACAACAGAGCCAATAGCAGCTCCGTGGGACAGTCTAGGGATGCACAGGTACTGGGTGGGGGTGGGGGCGAAAGCCGCTTCTCCTGTGTGCTGTGGTCACAAATAAAAAAGAGACAGTGTGCCTCTGGGAAGCAGAGAAGAAGGCAGCAGCCAAGTCCTCGTGCTCTCACTCCACCGAGCACGCTGAAGGATTGCTGAGGCAGGGGGCAGGAGCCGATCTGTCCCCTGCTCTCTTCCTCCTCACAAGGAGGCAAATCAGTGTCCCCTGCTGGCGCCATCTCTTCCTCCTCATGAGGAGGCAAATCAGCCCCCTCCCACCAGCACAAGCTCGGCGGGAGTTGGGGCTCACAAAACTCCCATCACACATGTGGATCCTTGTTGTGTCATTCCCCAGCAAAGACTTTGTGATCATCACACATGTGGATCCTTGTGTCATTCCCCAGCAAAGACTTTGTGATGTGTAGATGAAGTCTCAGAATGTCCTTATTCAACTGACCCAGAGAATGTAAGAGTCTGAGGGAATGTGGAAGTCTTCAGAGGCTGCTAGCACTGGAAAGATACTGTGGTGGTGTGAATCTTTTCATGAAAGTCGTCCACTGTATAGGGGTCACTGCTTCCTTATTTTCTATGGTTTGCTTTTCAGAAACCTTTTGGACAAATCCCCAGATCAAGCTCCAGCTGACAGAAAAGGATGATGATCAAGATGGATGCACATTTATAGCAGCTCTGATGCAAAAAGACCGCCGTAAACTCAAGAAACTGGGAGCTGAAATGTTAACAATTGGATATGCTATCTACGAGGTATTTCCTTCTACTATACTCTGAGCATTAGCCCAGGCAAAGCTGTGGCAGGCTCTTCATAGGGAATAATGCTGGACTGGTAATAGCTACTGGGCACCAGGGCTGGTTCCAGGTTTTGGGAGGCTCTGGGAAGACAGAGCTCAGAGCCCCCATCTGCCCACCAACAGGGCTCCACTCATGCCCTCCTATCTGTTGGCTGAGTGTAGATATGCAGTAATAAGGGAGCACAAGCTGTTTAACGAATTAAATCAGTTTATTAAGAGGAGGACAGACTTTGTAAGAAAGAGAAGATAGAAAGAGAAGTCTTAACCATCTCTTAACCATCTGACTGGTTAGGAGGAAATAATCAGACTAACAGTTCTCAGCAAGAGCAGGAAGGAGACCTAACTGAGCCAAACAGGAGACAGGAAAGAAACTATTTGAAAATAGCAGGAAGTCCCTAATCTCAGCATGCTAACAGCATGCCCCCTGTAGGATGTTCTTGTCCTCTTCTCTATCTATACACAATAGACCTTGCTTATTCCAACACTTTCCACCCCCACACCTGTATGCACATATCTGTCTGTGTGTCCTTCTCCAGCTTGCACGCACTCTTAATGCCCATGCTCAGTTCCCTGCACCACCTACACATCCCTTCCTCAACTGCACTGGCCAGTTGGGAGTGCTGTTGTCATTGCCGTCAGGAATACCACCACTGTGCACCACCCATACTTGTCCCCGGCAGCTGCTGCATCTCAAAGAATGCCGACACCAGTCCTGCTGGGCACATTTAGCCCCTTCCTTCATTGTTACCATGTGGCTCACCTCATCATCAGCTACTCGCTCCTGGATACTTTATTATTTCAAACATTGACTCTGTCCCTGAGGTTGCTGAACCAGGATCCTGCTTAGAAAGGCAGCCTCCAGAGGAATGGAAATCAAATTCTACACTGGTCAGGCTATGGCTCCTATCTCTAGCTGCTTTTCAGGCTGACACAAGGAAAACATTTTCAGGCTGACACAAGGAAAATCTTTAAATGTCTGGGACATCGGTGACGGGTGCAGACTTATATATGAGTACCAGTACTTTTTTTGCACAAAAAA